TTAAAAGATAATAAAATCTTTTAATACCTAATTTAAATAAAAGATAATAAAGTAATATTCTCACTTCTTATTAAACAAATCAATTTTTTCTTTTGTTGCTCTAAATGTTTAAATTCTTAAATAATCAAGACAATGATGCAAAAATAATTATATAACTTCTCATTCTCATTGCTTCAGATGTTTTATGTAATATAACACTTATATTTAAATTACCTACATTAATTAATAATAAGTAAATTAGTTACTTTTTTTATTAAATTTTCAAAATAATATATTTAATCTACCAATTTTATGCTTATTAATAATTATTAATTTATTAAAAATAATGTGAAGATACTACCATGCGAAACCACGTGGTGAATAAAATAAACAAATACGAAGCCACCAAATAAAAAAAAGAAGATAATCTTTTCTCCTTTAGTATCCTCTCAACCAAATAAATCACTTCAACAATTTGGCATGTTTTAGTGACTGTTCACACATATTTATTAATTATTTTTAAAATCCAATATTTTTCACTATAACATGAAATTGTTTACAATGATTAAATACAGTGAATTTAAATATTATGATATTTATATTGATTAATGCAGTTAAATAATTACTTACTAATTTAGCCAACAACCTATAATTTAGCATTTTAATAAAGTTACCAATTTTTTAATGAATAAAAAATTGATTTGATTAGAAAATATTTTCAGCAGAGATGTTAACAACGGTTTTAATATTCTCATATGTTCTGTTTTCGATTGTATTTACTATAGGGAACTTTTTTACATATAATAAATGACACTCACATCGTCTAAATATTAAATGCACAATCCATTAAACCTAAATTAACTTATGTTAAATAAATAAAAATACATTAAAAATTCAACATGGGGATGTAGCTCAGATGGTAGAGCGCTCGCTTAGCATGCGAGAGGTACGGGGATCGATACCCCGCATCTCCAAATTTTTTCCTTTTTAATTTTGTTTGTTTTTTTCCTTTATAATTGTTTTCGTTTTTTTTTTTTTTATAATTTATAATAGTGGTGTTCTTCACCTGCTTTTTTTTTTTTTTTCTAGTCGACAACTAAAATTATTGTTGATGAATAATAATTTCATAGAATCTTTGTAGATTCCAGTAACAGATGATTGGAGCATGGGTGAAAGTGATATAATGTGGGAATAGGGTAGGTATTTTGTTATGACCCCGAAAAAGTGAACTCCAAAATGACTAATAAATAATGAAGAATTATTGAGGAAAGGTGCATGAAGCATGGACACATTATTGAAGCAAATAACTTACATTTAGTGAATAAAACACGTGCATGCCCCACAACTTCAAGGCCCACTGGGAACCTATAATTCAGGTGGCCCCAAACTCATCAGAGTAGGACTCCATTTATCTCAATTTCTAGGACCCCACTCGACCTTTTCTTCATTAAAAATGACATTCAAGTTTTTGTAATTTTTTTTCTCTATCTATATTAATTTTTAACCGTTTTTTCCAATAAATAATAATAACCTGTATTACAGTTTAAATTATTCACTAAACATGCAAAATATAATTTATATTTTCAAATGTAACTATTTACTATATTTATAATTCTATAAAAATAAATATTGTGCAATGAACAATTCTAAATTATTTAGAATAACAGAGCAAAAAAATAACCACTTAGATGATTTTCGAATTCAATGAGTATAGCTTTCTCATAGGCCCATAATTCTAGGCTCCTTCATCCCTTATAAATTATGTAAATGATTAAAATATTATTTATTAATTTTTATTTGAAATAAAATTTTAAAATATTTTTTCATTCTTATGCTCCTCTACATTTCTATATCTTTTCTGCATCTCCATAATTTTTATATTTTCGTTTTATTAACTTTCACTTTTATGGAAGATAATTTTCAGTTCATAAAATTAGAATTTGTTAAAATTTTGTATCTATTATAAAATATTCATGAAAATTAAACTAAAACTGTTCATAACAATTCAAATTACTTATTCCAAACTATATTTTCAAATTCGAAAGTGAGTTATGAAATAACTATTTTAGAACATACTTTTAGAACATATAATTTAAAAATATATTTTAGATTAATTGTCCCATACATATTTTAAAAATAGATTTCGAATAAAGTTTTTCAGAAATAATTTTATTTAATCCAAAATATGTTTTAAGGAAATCAAATATAGAAATCCTACTCGAGGGGTAGAATAAGATTTATTTTAATTAAAAGAAAGGCTTGAAAATCCCTATAATTGGGCTGAGGATACTTCGGTAAAACAGCCCATTATAAAGAGGCATGAAAACTCATGAAGTTGGGCTTCGGTAAAACAGCCCATTAATTATTACAAACATAAATTAAAGTTTTAGATACAACATTAATTTATTAAGATGAAGTGACTATTTTTAATACATAACACTAATATATAGAAATATACAGTGAACATATTTAAACTAGTAATGTGATGATATCTCAAATATTTTTTGATGCATCAAAATAAGTTTTTTTTTTTTTTTGCAGATTATTTTTTTATTCATATATAAAAGTTAAAACCCTAATGATAATAATTTATCAACTCCTCTATTCTATAATATAGATTTTAAAACCTTTATTTGCATGGGTTCTTTTTAATTAATCACTTTTAATTTTAATAACGTACGTGCATGAATAAAATTATAAATATTAAAATAGTTAGTAATATATTAAATATGATTATGTAAAATTAAAAAAATGACTAAATATAGTTTTTAAAGTGATCATTTTTTTTTAATTTAAATTTATTGTGATTTATTCTTTCCCAAGTATTAATAATGATGTGATACCTATTTAAAAAGTATGGATTACTGAATATTAATATATAATTATTTAAATTTGGGTGTTCGCTTTTGTCATAGCAAATACTTTACTAAAATAAAAATTATTTCCTGTGTTTATAAAAGTTTTTGTAAAATTAATTATTTTAAATTTACTAAAATAAGAAGGTATTTATTAAATAGATATATCGCTAACAAATTTAAAATCTCAATTTTAAAATTTCAAGTTTTGATTACGTAGCATAGTTAGTGTTTCGAAATTATAATAACTATACTTTTTTTTTAAGGTAAAATTTTTTAATAACTATACTTTTATTTTTTAAGGTAAAAAATTATAATCACTATACTATTATTTTTTCAAATATAAATAACAATTTATTTTTTGATTTTTATTCATAATTACTATTTGAAATAAAATATATTGAATATTTATAAAATTTAATTACATATTTATTCGATTATTATTTTGTTTATGGAATATATTTTAATATTTAATTTTACTTATAAAGTGTATTTTTTATTGCATGAATTCTTGCATCTTTTTTTATCAACAGTTTGTATGGTGACGAAAAGGTCAATATTAGTATTATTTTGTATGACATTTGATAATATTATTTAATGGTGGAAAAATTAAAAATAATTTTTACGGGAAAATACAATGTCTAACATTCTTAAGACAATTGAAGAGACTTGTAATAATAAAAAAATGTAACATATATTATTTATAAAAAATTAGTTTTTTAAAATAAAAGGAAAAAAATTGTACAGTTTGTCACTTATTCAATTAGATAGGTAATTTTCCTCTATATAACTCATTTTTTTCATGTCACCAAGATTAAAAAAGACAAAATATCTTGACTAATTAAAGCAGATTTCGTAGCTTTTAATATATAAAAAATTTGTAAAGTAATGCCTATATAAATCATTAATGTAACATTAATTGTAGCAAATAAAAAAAAATATTGGGAAGAAAAATGAAAACATAATGCAATTAAAAAACTATTTATATGTAATCCAACTTTTGTTAAGACTAAAATTTTGTGCTAATAAAAAGAAGAAATGAAAGAACCATGACAGCTTTTATCTTTTTAATTTTGAGGAAAAAACATAAATGTTTTTTCATGTATAAAAGGTCTTAACTAATAGTACTATAATCAACAAACCAAAATCCAAAACATTACAATTTGTAACAAAACGTTTTTAGTTGTGTTTGGGTTAAGTGAGAATTCTATAAAGCAGGAATATTTGTTTTCATTTGCATGCATTGTTACAGATTAATTTTGGCTTTTCAGTTTTCAAGAGTTAGAAACTGTTTTGTTCTTAATAAATAATAATAATAAATAAATAAATATTATGACTAAATAATAAAACATTGTTTTTGCTCTTCTTGTTATAACTCAATGTTATTGCAAATGAAAAACCATGAACTTTTCTTATTAAAATTCTTAGTTTAAATAAATAAATTTATTTTGCAAACCATTATAATTAATATTGAATCTTTAATTATGATTAACCTTCACAGACAGACCGAATGTCGAAGTTTGACACCAGGGTCTGTTATAATCAATAAAAATCTTTTGATAGCTAAGTAAACGAAAATCAACCATTCGGACATGTGTTTCTTTTACTGAAAACATAAACCTCAATTCTTGCATTTGTTTAGAGTAATTTAAAGTTTAAAACTGTGTACAAAATTGGATGATTAATTATACAAAAAACATTTTTCAAATGACTCTATTTCTATCCTTTTATTTATGTATCTTTTATTAAGAAAAGGAAAGAAAAGAGAAAGAATTGAATTTCTTACCTGTCGGTGTCAGACTGCAACATTCGGTATAATTTTTTTTTTTAAGAAAATATATATTTTTTGTTTGGTTGTAGTTGAAACAAATGTAAAGTTGTGTTTGAGAGAGCAACATTCAAGGTAGTTATGGCAGCAGGTGAGGTAGGTTTTATCTCATTTCAGCTTTTCAATGGTTGAGAACATTTTTACTCATCTAAGAACTGAAACTTGCAGCATCATTGATAGAATTACCAAGATTAGAACAGTGAGTTTCTGAAGTCAGATACAGATACAAAGAACTCTATATGTTCTTGTTTAACCGTAATATATTTTCTGTAAATTACACTTTCATCTTGAACAGACAAAGTAAAATACCCTACCCTCTTTTTAGAGCACAGGGCACACTAGTTAAACTTAACATAATTGTTTTCAATCATCCACTTGATACTCCAGGAGTTAGAGTCACATTTGTATGCCCAATAAGCCCATCCAAATTTGGCACCAGAGTATACCTCCACTTGGGCTTGCATAAACTTTTGTTGATCTTCCTTTGATGCTCTCGGAACTTTCCAATCACCACTCCACTCCCCTGCAGATTCCACCAGCATGTTATTTTATGCTATTGTTTTCTTTTCTTAGAACAGAAGATTTAAAAGAAGGCTATCCAAGTCCCATAACAGAATCCAAGAATATGATAAAGCATTTATGCTACTTTCTTGCGTGTGAAAAAGTAGAAAACTTACCAACAAAAATGAGGGGTCCATTAGATGTCGTGAGAGAGCTAAGATCTGAAGCCCTTTGGTTTTTAATATAATCGATGTTCTGCTGCACATTCATATGGGAGAACCTATCCGAAAAGAGGTTGTAGTAGTGCACGTCAATGGCCACTTTATCGAAAGCTCCAGCAAAGGACAAAAGCACTTTTGAGTCTCTATCCAGAGGGTTAGACATGATCACATAGGCACTCGACGTGTGTTTTCGCACCGCATCATAACCTGCTTGGTAATAGCTTTTAAGGCTTTCCAAATTTACACCTTGAGGCTCATTCATCAGCTCAATTGCTACCAGACCTGATCTGTTCGCATATCTGAAAACCATTTTGGAGCCATATACACAATCAAAACAAGTAGTATATAGTATAATTTATTCAAAAGTATAAGATTCAAGATGGTGACATATTTTAGAAAATTAGTAAAAGGGACATCATAGATTAAAGTAAACCTTTCTGCTAGGAAGTCTATGGCTGCAACAGTGTCAGATATGTATGAATCACCCCATTCTAGATACCCGTCTCTTGAGGCACTGTGAGGTTTTCCATTTTGTGAGCCTGGAGCAGCATGCAGGTCCACAATTACCTTAATGCCATACTTTCTGCAATGATATTAAAGAGTGACATTTATTGTAACAAACAAGTGATAGACAAAGTGGTTTTTCCAATTTTACATTGTAACGAAATAGACAGGGCACCATCCCTTAATTGGTCTTACTCTGCCCATGTGAAGGCATTGTCTAGCACTTCCAAGGATCCCCCAACAAAAGGCTTTGGTGGTGTTGGGTCTTGAGCTATCCACCACCCCACGGGAATTCTGACACCATTTAAGCCATTTTCTGACATGAATTTGAAATCATCTTCAGTTATATACGTATTCCAGTGATCCTGCATGTGCATGTTCCGCGTAGCTTTATCATTGATCAATTAAAATATGATATAAATTTCTGCCCTTGTTCTCCTTAAAGCTGATATTTACCTGCATGATTTTGGGAGCTTTGTCTGGGCCATAACCGTTTGTAATTTGGAATTCCCCTCTTATAATGCTTCCTGTCAAAACATTCATTTTAAATACTGAAGGGTCACTGTCATCCCAACTGGATCCTTCATAATCTGCTACTACCACAGTCTCCGATATTGCCTGATAAACAATGTTAAGACCATAGAAACATTACAAGCTAAATAATCTATAGGGGTCACGAGAGTTAACTAAATAATAACACAAATAAGACCAAAGTACCTGTAAAAACAGACCGTTTGGTGCTCTGATGCGAACCTTGTTAGGGTCATCATCATTCCTCAGAATCTCAAATGTTTCCTTGTCGCTTGGTGAATCAGAATCAGCCACTAAATTGTTTCCTTCATCTTCATTTGTCAATCTGACAAATTGCTTACTAGAAACTCTAAAATTGAAGGCCGTTTCATTGACTCTCCACAACTGCGTTGTTGATGGTTAACAAAAATGCTACTAATTAAATACAAAAATTATAAATGTGTAACAAATAAACTAAATAAACAAAACTCTTAAACAGCATATGTTTACATATAGAGAAACCAACCCTGAAAGTTTCCCAACCCGAAGCTTTGGTGCGATTCGCAACAACAATACTTCCTCCCCCATTTTCTGCACACAGATACTTCACTAACTTGGTAGACTTTAGCTGCACTTGAGTTCCATCCTGCAATGACCAAAATTATGTGACAGAAAAGATCAAAATAGGATGTGCAAAATTATTAATAAACAATGAGCTGACAGAGATACCAACATACCAAAAGATCTTTGTTGGCTATTCCATCAAAGAGAGCAGGTTTCATCCACCCCTCAATAACGAGCCAATTTCCAAGATTCACAGCTTTGAGTGGCAAATTGGAATTTTCAGTCTGAGCAAGAGCATACTGATATGAGAGGTAGAAAGCTAGCACAAGGCTCGCGTAGAATAATTGCTTGCTCATCTTACTACACTTTTTGGTGTGTGGAGTGAGTGCTACGCAAGAGGATAGTGTGTATAACATATATAGAGTTCAAAGCCTACAAATATTTTCGCATAGATTTTACTTAGATGTTGTGTTTGATGTTATAGTGTTACGTTGCCCATCACCATATGAGATATCACTTTCTGTCTCCCTCTGAAGATTGAAACCCAAGTTTTGGAGTTAACCACCCTAAAAGTTAGCCACAATGTATGTAGAAAAAGGTTCGATCATATGCCTATACCGATCACATATGAGTAGTATGTTTCACGCAAGTTTTTACATCAAATGTTCGCCATTGGCATATATAAGTAGGTGGACAATATCATCTCAATTTCATTTATGTATTTTAGATCACCATTGCTTACTTTTTTTTTTCTTCTTTATTTAAAAATGACACTTTAACAAAAAAATACTTTTGTGTTAATATCTTTTGTCATGATTAATAATTTTTTTTTGTTAAAGTATCAATTTTTATGTTGTTCATACAACACTTTCGCAGAAAAGTACTATTTTTAGTTACATCTATATTTTGTGAAAGATGATCATGTTTCAGTCACATGTAGTATTATAAAGGCTAATTTTTTAAATATTTAATACAGTTCTTTTAAAAGGGTATTTAATACACTTATTTACTTGTATTCAAACTCAAGTAAATTCATTTAAAGAGAGTTAACTTAAATTCTATGAACACTTAACCAACCCACATGTGCTCTGTCCCTCCCCTTTGAACCAAAAGAAGATGAGTTTTTCTCCTCTTCTGATTTAAACCAAACATTCAAACAAAAGGACCATTCCTTTGCTATACCATCTATTAATTGTTTTCTCACTTTTTTTAACTACATTAAATTAAGGAGCTTGAATAAATTATTGAGAAATATTTATAAAAGGAAAAAGCATAGTTTTAATTTTTTTATATATTAAAATCAAACCTATCCATCCCAATTTTTTTTTTCAAATTTTCTTACGTAACTTGTAATAAAAAACAAACTTATTATTCACGAGTTGTTTGTTTTTTTTGTGTAGGAAACGTCTGATCCAAATATTCTTTTTTTCTTTTTATTTTCTATTTTTGTTTGTACCTGTTATAAAAATCATCATAGTTTACAAAAGAACCGACACAAAAATGTTTGTTGAAAAGGTTGAATGAGGATTGGTTGATGAAAAGACTAAAATGATTGAGTGTGTTTGGCTAAGAACTTGCAATCCCTATAGAGTAGAACAGAGGGATTGTTTCTTCAGAGAATTTTCTTATCTCTTAACCCTCTCATTTTATGTTTCCCACATTGCTAGTGATGTGTCATGCAAGTGTTTGTTGGTTCAATCATATCAAACATTAAAATTGAAACATACATATACCTTAATGAAACCAAACTATTGTTGGCCATTAAGTGGTTAGTTAACATGTACTTGCTGATTCTCTTTTAAGTAACTTCAATTACAACCTTACTAATGCATGACTATTTTTTTAATAATTTTAAAATAACTTTTGATTCATAATAGAATATATAAATTTATTGATATTATTTCTTTTTTTTATTAATGTAATTATTTCATTTAATATGAAGCATATTTTTGAAAAAAAAATTAACGAACATAATAAGTCACACTATAAATAACATTTAATTAGATTTGAATAAATCTTATATTTTAACTAATGTAACTTTTTAATATGTTTTTAAAACTGGAAATTGTGAATAAATAAAGTTAAATAATCAAATTGCCTATGAATAAATCATAGAACAAATTACACCGCAGTTAGATTCACACGTATATACGATAAATATATAAATATTAATTTTCAATATATAATAAATATAAATTTTCAATATGTTGAATATAGAAGAAATAGAGTTTGAGATTAATCTCCTTTGTGTATAAATCACACATAGGGTAGTCTATTTATAGTAGAGAGATACAACTAAAAGAATAACTAAAAGTAACAGAATAAACGGAAGATATTGTTTGATATTATGGTTAATATCTAACAATATCTTAACAATATTAAATAATATCTAAACAATATCTAACACTCCCCCTCAAACTGGAGCATACAAATCGTATGTGCCAAGCTTGTTACAAATATAATCAATTCTAGGACCTCGTAAAGATTTAGTAAAAATATCTGTTAACTGATCACTTGAGTTAACAAACTCAGTCTTGATGTCTCCAGACATAATCTTTTCTTGAATGAAATGACAGTCAATCTTAATGTGTTTGATCCTCTCATGAAAGACAGGATTAGAACTAATATGAAGAGCAGCCTGATTGTCACACACAAGTGATATTTGAGTGACATTTCCAAATTGTAACTCTCTAAGCAATTGCTTGAGCCAAACAAGTTCACAAGCAGCTAAGGTCATAGCTCTATATTCTGCTTCTGCACTAGATCTTGCCACAACACTTTGTTTCTTACTTTTCCAAGAGACCAAGTTACCACCAATGGAGACACAATATCCAGATGTAGATCTTCTATCCGAAGGAGATCCTGCCCAATCAGCATTTGAGTAGCAAACAACTCTTGTATGGTTATTAGAATCATATAACAATCCTTTTCCAGGAGATCCTTTAATATACTTTAAGATACGAATGACTGCATTCCAATGATCTTCACATGGGGAATTAAGAAATTGGCTTACCACACTGACTGCAAAGGAAATGTCAGGATGAGTAACTGTAAGATAATTCAATTTTCCAACCAATCTTCTATACTGCTCAGGATCAGGTATAAGCTCCCCTTGATTTGGTAAAAATTTAGTATTGGGATCCATGGGCGTATCAACAGACATTAAATTCATCAACCCAGTTTTCTCTAAAATATCCATGACATACTTCCTCTGAGATATAACAATACCATCATTGGACTGTGTCACCTCAATACCCAAGAAATATCTAAGTTTGCCAAGATCTTTGGTCTGAAAATGGTGACAGAAATGTTGTTTCAACTGAGAGATGTCATGGTTGTCACTACCTATAAGAACGATGTCATCAACATATACTATCAAGTAAACACATCCAGCACTTGAGTGTCGATAAAAGACAGAGTGATCTGCTTCACACCGAGTCATACCAAATCGTTCAACAACCTTGCTAAACTTTCCAAACCAGGCCCTAGGAGACTGTTTTAGGCCATATAGGGATTTGCGAAGACGACATACCATCCCAGAAGACTCCCCCTGAGCAACAAACCTAGGAGGTTGCTCCATATAGATTTCTTATTGCAAATCACCATTGAGGAAAACATTTTTAACATCTAGTTGATAAAGAGGTCATTGTTGAAGAGCGACCATGACGATAAATAAACGAATAGAAGTCATCTTTGCCACAGGGGAAAAGGTATCTCCATAATCCAACCCAAAAATTTGAGTATAACATTTGGCCACAAGACGAGCTTTGAGGTGATCAATAGTACCATCAGGTCCAACTTTGATAGCAAACACCCATCTACAACCAACAACAGATTTCTCAGACGGTAACGAGACCAATTCCCAAGTTCCACTATTATGAAGAGCACTTAGTTCATCTAGCATGGCCTAACGCCAACCAGGATGGACTAAAGCTTCACAGACAATTTTTGGAATGGTCACAGAAGAAAGAGAGGAAAAACATGTATAAAAAGGTAATGACAGTCGATGATAACTCAAACCAATATAATGAGATGAGAGATTACGTGTAGAACGGATACCTTTTCGGAGGGCAATGGGAATGTCAGACTCAGGTGTCACATCCGGAGGAGCCAGAGTAGTTGGCACTTGAGTAGAGTCACATGGTAGTGGTTGTGATTGGTTTCGGCAACTATAAACCTGAAGAGGCAGTGAAGAAGAAACTGACTGCGGAGTAGAATCTAATGGTGAAGAAGACACAGTTAAAGGGTCACAAACAACAGGAACATTAAATGTACTAGGAGTGTTGACAAGATTGGATGGAGACAGAGGTGAAGATTGACTTTTAAAATAAAAAGAGAACTCATCAAAGGTGACATCTGCAGACACAAAATAACGGTTAAGAGAAGGAGAAAAACATTTGTATCCTTTTTGTGATCTTGTAAACCCTAAAAAAACACATTTATGTGATCTAGGAGAAATCTTGTCAAGACTAGAACTAAAATTATGAACCAAACATGTAGACCCGAACACTTTTAGAGGTAAGGGATGAAGTGGTTCATGAGGGAATAAAATGGAATGAGGTATTTTATTATCTAGAACCGAAGATGGCATGCGATTAACAAGATAACATGCAGTAAGAAGACCATCACCCCAAAAATGCTGAGGAACCTCTCCATGAATTAAAAGAGTGCGAGTTGTTTCAATAAGATGTCTATTTTTACGTTCAGCTACACCATTTTGTTGAGGTGTATAAGCACAAGAAGTTTGATGTAAAATACCATGAGAAACCATGAATTGTTTAAAAGAATGAGAAAGATATTCACGACCATTATCACTGCGTAAAACTCTAATAGAAACACCGAACTGAGTTCAGAACGATTTTTCATCAAAAATAACCAAGTGCATCTGGAATAATCATCAATGAAAGTAACAAAGTATTGAAAACCTAAAGTAGACTTAACGCGGCTAGGTCCCCAAATGTCAGAGTGAACCACGGCAAAAGGGGACGAAGCACCACGTGTGACACTACGAGGAAAGAAAGTACGACTATGCTTGCCTAATTGACACGACTCACATGCAAAACTAGACAATTTTGATAAGGCAGAGACAAGTTGTTGTAACTTGGCAAGACTTGAATGACCTAACTGAGCATGGAGAAGAGAGGGAGACTCTATAACTGCACCAACATGTGTAAAGGGACGAAAATGATAAAGACCATGAGACTCACATCTTGTGTCAATCACCTGTTTCGAACTCCGGTCCTGTAAACACACAGAATTGTTGGTAAAAGAAACAACACAATCAAGAGAACGAGTTAGACGACTGATGGATAACAAATTAAAAGGAGACCTAGGGACATAAAGAACATTATCAATG